AATTTTTAAAAGTTTATTCAGATTTTAATATCATTGAAAATCTTATTTAAATAAATATAAAAGTTTCAGACAAAAAGTGAAAATGGGGAGTGACAAGATATTCAAAAGGGAGAAATTTTGATAAATAGACGGCATTGATAATTGGGCCAAACCAACATACATAAACCCCAAGATCTAGAATGTGTTTAATTAAAAATATTAGTATAGAATGGGGGTATTAAATTACAAAATTGACATTATAAACATGACAAAGTAAGGTTAATTTAGGGATAGCTAAGAAATTTATCTTATATACTTACGGTTAAATAAACTCTTAAAATTATTGAGAAAATCATAAAAATATTTACAAATCTTAAAATAATGTCAATAAATAAAATATTTAATATACAAAAATTTGAATTATCATTGTTTATAGAGCGCTCATCTTGAAAATCAATTGCTCATGTGAAACAATAATATTTTTTTTTAGTTTTTTCCTTATCTATCATACTGAACGCGTTATTTATTTATTTATTTTTTTTATTTTTTATTTTTTATTTTTTTTGGTACAGAGATACATTGCTTGTCTAAATTTTTTAAAAAAAAAATGAGTATTTGGTAAGGTAATGTCATAATTTTGTTTTTTCTGTACACTAACTTAACATTTTGATAATTTTTAAAAGTTTGTTCAAATTTTAATATCATTGAAAATCTTATTTAAATAAATATAAAAGTTTCAGACAAAAAGTGAAAATGGGGAGTGACAAGATATTCAAAAGGGAGAAATTTTGATAAATAGACGGCATTGATAATTGGGCCAAACCAACATACATAAACCCCAAGATCTAGAATGTGTTTAACTAAAAATATTAGTATAGAATGGGGGTATTAAATTACAAAATTGACATTATAAACATGACAAAGTAAGGTTAATTTAGGGATATCATATTTTTACAGATTCATTGGCTCTTTTATAATAGTATAGATAAAAGCAGAGGATATTATTTCGTTGAAGTTCGTAGTATCACCGACTTTATGTTTTCGGTAAGATCAAATTTGAAGGATCGCATTTTAAGTATAAAATCTTATATTCCTTCTATTACAAAAGCTACCATGAGGTCAAACTAGAGCTGCAAACGAGCCGAGCCGAGCTGAGTCGAGCAGGATTGAATTTTTTTTTTTGCAGTTGTTCGAGCTCGAGCTCGTCGAACTCGATTTATGAGGCTCGAGCTCGACTCGATAAAAAAATACAAGAGTTCGAGCTCGACTCGAATTCAAAATGTTCGATCTCGGCTCGAGCTCGGTTCGAAGTTTAATTATGGGAGTTAGTTGTTCATCTTGAGACCGAAAGGATATAGACAACAATTAATATATATGATTTACTTGTTCGAGAGAAATGTTGAAATCAGTTTAGCGATTATCTCTACGATTTGTAAAATTAAATAAGGTTTGTATGAATATAAATGTTTCATGAATTAATTCTTAGGAATAAGCCTAGAATATATCTTTTGTATCTTATTTTATTTTAATTTTATTAGGTAAATTTGTTCTTAATTTATTTTCTTAGTTCATATAATCACCATCCAATTCATTAGTCTAGATAATATTTAATCGTCACGATTTTAGTACTTAATTAATTTAACTACATTAATCTCTATAGAATACGACTTTGCTCGTCACTATCTATAACTACTCAGTACACTTGCAGATAACGAAAATAACTAACGAACAGTCCTATAATAATACATATAAATAAATAGTAACTAAAAAGCACAATGAAAAAGTGAAATTGGAACTTAGATACATTACGCATCATCATAGATAGCACATTGACAAACCTCGAATTATGATATGGGTTTTTATAAACTACAAAAGAACAGAAAATGCTACAGCCCCAGGACCATTCATTTGTATACAACTATAATAAGAAATTGCAAGTTCAACTTTGGTGATGTTAATATGTTAAAAATAATATATCACCAATATTTGCATATTATATAAACGGTGGGCATATTAACATGTGCTCATCGTGAGTAGATGAGAGCATTTTTCGTCTAATGGAATGGCAAAAAAATACATTGGGAAGAAAAAAATTTAAAAAAGGGCAAGGAAAAAAAAAAGTTTGGCTGATAAAAAGACACGTACCAAAGCAGCCGATATAATCACACGTCCACAAATATATCTACAATTGCATTATATTATTATTATTATTATTATTATTATTATTATTTAATGAACGTATCTACTTTTAAGTTATATAAACTACATTCATTTAATATTTCAGACTTTTTATTGT